GCACATAACCGTTCATACACCTCTCTCATAGTTCATCTGTTTTTGTTTGATATAAATAGTTCTTTACATCATATCTGAATGCTTTCTCTGTTTCGTGTAAATATTTTAACATTCTATTATTTTAATATAAGCTTAGGATTATCATGGAATTATAAGGAAGTTTTCATATCAAGCACTTATGAGGTGATTCAAAAATAATAAAGTGAATGTCTAGGGTGACTGTTATAATGCTTACTTTTGTTTTTGTTCAACAAGAGTTAAAATAAATATCAATAATTTTTATATATATATAACAAAGAGTATTAAAAGTGTTGCATCAATGTGAGTATAGCTAAAAAACTTAGTAGCCCTGGTAATTTTTATTGCTATAATGTCAATAAAAGCTTTTCCATCGACTGAAAGGTGTGAATCTGAATTTTGGTTCTGTTCTATTTTTCATGTTGGGTTATTAGTTAGGCTTTGGTTTACTTTTTTCTGTGTTCGCTGTTAAGATTTATCTCAAATTTTGAATTACTTCTTAGTTTAAACACTTAGCTATCTATTTGCTCTAATTCTATTTTGTCATTCATGGTTTAAAGTTATCTTTAGGTTATGCTTCCCATGGCATCATAGTTATCTTTAGTTATCATCAGTCCCTTCCCCTATCCTTAATTTTCCCTTAGCCATTCGTTATTTTCTAGTCTTTATCTGAATTCCCCATTAGCTTCATTTAAGTTATTTCCTAGTTATATTTAAGCCCTGGTTACTTTCTGTTGCCCCCTAGTGACCACGTCATTTACCCCTTGCTCCCTTCTAGCTACTTCTGTCCAGACCTGCTCCCAGTTAGTTAATTACTCAATTCTTTGTTCTGTTTGACATACTGTATGTACTCCTCCGCAGTTGTTCATTGCTCGATTCTCTTCGCTCCATCTGAAGTTCTGTTATCCTTTGGTCTGGTTTCTGTGTGCCCTGCTTTGCTATTTCTGGATTTATGCTTCTGTTGCCACCAATCTTCATCATTAAATCCCATCTCAGCATTTGGGTCTTCTACAAACCTTCACTCACCCTAATAATGTGGGCATCCTTGGCAGTCTTTCTGAAGCTTTTGTGTATATTGTTTAAATCAATATTGAAATTGTATGAAATTAACAAAAAATATAAATGTATAATTTAAAAAAAAATAATTATATGTATTTATAAGTAATTTTAACCTCTGTTAAATCATCTGCCCTACTGATAAATACTATAGCTTTACAAGAGACTGACACTGTAGTCATGTAAAGCATATTCATTGCAACAAAAGTGTTTGAGGAAATAATTTCCAAAATATTATGATATTTTTTTGTTTTGTTCTTGTTTTTTTTTATTTAAACAAAATGTAAGTGTGTGTTTGGTTCCAGGTACTCAGAGATTCACTTGCATACAGAAAGCCCATATTCTTATCTTCAGGTAACACAGAGTACATGTCAGATCAAATAATACTACTTCAGCGATAGTTTCAAGGTGTTGCTTTATTGTATGTCTCGTACCATGTCTTTCGGTTTTGCTGTTCTTTTTACATTTCGTTACAGGTGATGAAGCAGACTGAAAATGTTCTATCATTATCTCCTTTGTATTTCCTCTTTCTTTCATCTTTTCTCTTTTTTTTTCTTCTTCTGTTTTCCTCTTCTGCTCTATTTACATTGCAGTGTCCATATAATCTGTAAAACTCCCTGCATAATTATAATAATGCAACTTATATGCATGAAACAAGTGGAGCAATATGGCAATAGCCCTACTGCTCCACTTGTGAAAGTAAAATCTGTTAGGCTTTTTTTGGGATCGAGACAATTATTCTCATTGCCACATTGCCAGACAGGACAATGTCTGGCAAAAAAAAAATAAAAAGACTAGTAACTGGGATAAAAAGGCATGTTAGTATCAAGAACAAATAAAAAGAAGAAACTGCAAAAACTGGAAAAGTTTATAGTGATTTAAATATTAATAATATCATTTTTCTTACAAAATAAAGTGTTTAGGAGTGAACTGTTTTTATTATACTGGTATCAGGGATTAATAAATCTGACTGAGACAGAGGAATTCAGCTCTGAAACAGACAATAGATTTCCATCAGTGTTACAAATTTTTACGTGTCTGACAGTTTGAAAAGTTTCCGCCAAAAGTTCCTCGACTGTAGGAAATAAAGAGTTCAAATTAGAGTTATCCATGGAAAGTTTCTGTACAAAAAAATTATTGGACATGAACGAGACATTCTTCCGTCATTGCCAAGAGAGACTGCAGTGGTGAGCGACATCCAGGCTATGACTGTCCTGCAAGGAAAGCATTCATGCATGCTCAGGCCCACTCTAAAAATTTATTAGATACTTTATATTCCCATAAATGCATGTTACCCACTTTACCAAAGCATTACCAGAATAAATACAAAGAAATTAACTCTCTGAATTTACAATATTCTAGATTTTGCAGATGAATTCTTCTCAACTGTAAAACATATCTGTTGCTGTACGGGATGAGAAAATCCTGCATTTGTATCCATCCAATCCAGATTCTGGTGCAGCAATCCCCTCTCATTATCTGAGCTCAGCCCCTGACGGAAACAAATGGAAAGGCCAAAGCCTTGTTTTAAATCCAAACAGCCAGGTTCCATCAGCCTGAAGCAGAGAACTGTCTGCCAAGGTAAATACAAACACTCACCACAGAACAATGCATGACAGCCAGTAAAGCTGTGCTGGCTTTAAGCAACTGAAAACAAGGAACCAGTATTAGCTAGAAAACACTTAGAAAGAGCTTAGCCAGGAGGACAAAGGAGTCCTGGCAGAAAGTCCATTTGGAGACATGTTTCTTTATCAATCTAAAATACACCAAGTATACATGCAAGGTCCATCTTTTATTTAACATAAAAGCCAGGGATGTTAAAATAATCAATAGCTTAAAAAAAACGAATTATTCCAAGACTGTAATTTGAATCCAAATCAATATAAACTGGCTAGTTTTAATTTACCTAGGCTGTCACACTGGAATAACTAATTCCGATCATACATACAGATCAATAAGGAAGTGTTGAGCTCTGCCAAACACAAGTAAAAAGTAGCAGACTAAGACATGACTTTGCCGGCTCTGTGGCCGTACCCGCCAGTTACTGGACTGTATCTGAGGTCCTAACACATCACAAAAGGTCCGAACAAAGTCCGAACAAGTTCCGAACAAGTTCCGAACAAGATCAAACGAGGTCCGAACAAGGTCCGAACAAGATCCGAACAAGGTCCTAACGGGATCAAAGTGTTTCAACAGAGGACCAATCAATTCCGTCGGAACGGCTCACGTGACGGTGGACCAATCACCAGTCCTCTACGTCCTCTACGTCCTCAACGTCACGGTCCCGTGACTTAGAGGGCGTTTTACTGTAAGCATCAACAACAGAGCGCTAAAAAGGTATGGAAACTTGATTAATACTCATAAAAACACCGCCATAAAAAATGAAAAAATAAACGATTTAATTTCCCATAAAACACCACCATGAAAACATTAAAAAAAATAAGCGATCGCATGATATTTAACTGTTATTCAAACTTTCTTATGCGCTTGCACTGTGTGGCTATGGTGTGAATATACGTAATATTAGACTAGAGATACTTTATTGTTATTTTATATGCACAGAGTGTATGCAAAACGAAATTCCGTTGCATACAACTTGCAACAGTGTTATGAGCAGTTTGCAACTGTGTAATGAGCAGCTTGCAAAAGTGAAAGAGCGAAATAAACATTATTATTTATAAAGTGCAGCAGTGATCAGAATGTAAACAGTGTAGGAGAGAAATAAAACATTAAAGAAATAATTGTGCAAAAGGCCATTAATATTAAAAATGCAGTGCAAAATGAATATGGTGCAAAATGCAGTAAAACGTTGAGTTGCATTCTATTTAAAAGGATTATAAAAGTTCTGCAGTTTAGTAGTACAAAATAATGTTATCAGACCAATTATATCTTAATTATTCGTCTATTTGCTGTAAAAACGTCTCTTTCTGTCGTCTGTGTGTCACTATACACACATAGCTTAGCTCCATGTTAACCTGTTTTATATTTGATGTTTGCAGATGACTAAGACAGGTAAGCCAGATAGCTACTGGAGGGACATCTGCTCAAAATATGCCCAGGGCAAATTCCACTTCTCAACTGGCAAACGGCCAGGGGCCAAGAAATGGAAAAAGGCCTTGGAGAGAATAGATGCTTGCCCCTTGCAGAACCGTACAAACATTAGGGATCTGTTTGGGAGAAGCCTTCAGTGCTCCTGTGGGTTCCACAAGGTAGGTGAAACAATTTTTTTTAATTGCCTTTTGCTGCTTTTTGTCTCTTCTAGTGGGCTTTGGTGGTTTTGCAGTAATGCAAAGCCTGTTTGTTTTTGTTTTTTATGCACATCCAAATAAAAAATTATTTTAATTTATTTTATTCATCATTCTATTATAAGTCATGATGAGTCACTGTAGCATATGGACTTATTTATTTAACAATATATATCTGTACAGTTTTAGGCAAGGCTAGTAATATAGGATTATACTATTAATGTTGCATGTAGTATGATCCTTTCTTTATACCATCCCCAGCCAGCAGATCTGCCATCAGGCGCTGGGTCCAGTGCAGCATCAGGTGTTGAGACAGAAGCAGGGCAAGTCCGATTCAGCGCTGAGGTAGAGAGAGGAGGAATGGAGACAGGTAGAAGAGACAAGGAGACAAAGAGAAGTGACACAGATGCAGGGGGAGCCTCAGTCAGCACAGAGGTAGAGAGAGGAGGCACAGAGACAGAGAGAGGAGGCACCGAGACAGGGAGAGGAGACACAGAGACAAGGAGAGGAGACACAGAGACAAGGAGAGGAAACACAGAGACAAGGAGAGGAAACACAGAGACAAGGAGAGGAAACACAGAGACAAGGAGAGGAGACACAGAGACAAGGAGAGGAGACACAGAGACAAGGAGAGGAGACACAGAGACAAGGAGAGGAGACACAGAGACAAGGAGAGGAGACATGGATGCAGGGGGAGTCCAAGACAACACAGAAGCAGGGAGAGGAGACACAGAGGCAGGAGCATCAGTGGCAGGACAGGAAGTGCAGTGCTACAAGTGCAACCAGCATGTGAAGGGAGATAAATTTTCAGAGCACCTGTCCGACCACCATACAGAGGAGGTGTGTGAAACCTGTGGTGCTAAGGTGCAGGGTACTGTTGGTCTTTTAAACCACATCCAACTGGTTCACTATGCAGCATTAACGATGCCCTCACAACCAAAGCCACTAGCCAAGTGCTACGAAAGCACGACCAACAAAAAAGCAATACCATCAAAGACAACACCATCTCTGCTCTCTCCTTCATGTAGCTCTGACACGCCACAGCACACTGCAGCTCCATTAACCTCAAAATCAACTGCAGTCAACTGGAAAGGTTTTCTTCCTGAGCAATTTCGGAGAGTGATAAAAGAAGCAGATCAGGTGTGGATTTCCAAATGCCTTTATGAAAAAACAGGCCAGCTGAAACAAAGATTTCAAGCCTGCTGGTTTCACCCCCCACTGGAGCCCAAACCATCTCCTCCTGAGCCTGGGTGGTACTACCGGCAGAGGCTGTTCATCTGGGCACCAATGAGGATGTGGGGGATTCCTTTAAAATGCCCACAATGTTCCCGGAAAATGAACAGCTCTGGGATCTACAGAAAGGTGAGGGAGGTGATTGATGTGGATAGCCGCTACTACCTAGTGGGAGGGGACTATCCACGTTGCAGCAAGTGCTCTCAGCCGGTCTGCCCATGGAGTCAGGACATGCTCTCCCAGGTTGATGTGGCACACAGGAGCTTGTTCCCGGCTGTCCTCACTACACAGCTGGCTCTGGACAGAAAATGCATGACGTTTCTGAAGCCAAGGACAACTGGCAACAGTTCCTCCTACCTCCAGTCTGCTATACAGGAAGCGCACAGTGAAGAGTGGGCACGGCAGACCATCCGCTACCTCTCCGACTGTGAGCGCCATATGAAGATGGCTACTTTCCTCCACTCTCCAGCTGTTCTTCCACCACCACCACCCTTCAGGCCCCTTCCTCTTGCTCAGTGGTTTGAGACCGCCCACTCAAATGATATCCTCGGCCACATTGAGGAGATGAAGGGAGTCATCACTTCTACCTATGGTAGAATTCTTAAAATGGACTCAACAAAGAAGGTTGGGATTTCAACATTAAAAAAGAATATAAAATAGAGAATGCATGATTTCAACAAAACAGAAATTGGTTTACTTCTTAGTGCTTGTTTTTTTTTTACAGATCACCAAGAAGCTGGCTGGTGGGATCGAGGACAGTGCTGCATGGATGTCAAACATCGGCAACGAGTTTGGCCAGGTGTTGAACTCTGTGCTGACAACGGGTGAAGGTGCAGGGTTGGAGGAGTTGTGCCAAGGAATTGTCAACCGGTATAGGAATGCAGGCCAAGCTGAACCTGAGGTCATCCTGAGCTATCTCTATAGTTATGCTGCTATAGGCTTAGACTTTTGGAGGACATAGGGACCCCCATTTCATCATTCTGCTTCATTTTCTCTCTGTTCTCCTATTCTGCAGAATCTGTTAGTTCAATCTCTAACCTTCTGCTCTCTCTGCTTTTCCTCAGAGTAGCTTTGCCTCGTCTGTTCCTGTTTGGCTGTGACGTCATCCTGGAAAAAAACATCAGCTGTGCTGCTTCTATCAACACCCTTGTTAATAGATGTTGGAGATCGGCCTGTTTTCCAGTGTGGTCCTGTTTCTCTGGCCGTGACTGAGTGGATGTGCTCTCTTCGTCCTCTGGCATGGGAGCTGCCTTGGAGCTCGTCTGCCTGGCTGTGTGTTTCCTGGACGGGGCCGCCTTTTACAGCTGCTTTTTGTATCTCTGCTTCTGTCTCCTTGAACCCCAGTCAGCCTCAGCAGATGGCCGCTCACACTGAGTCTGGTTCTGCTGGAGGTTTCTTCCTGTTAAAAGGGAGTTTTTCCTCTCCACTGTCGCTACAAGCATGCTTAGTGTGGGGGATTGTATTTGAGTCAATGAGTCAATGCAATCAACTGGTTTTCCTTAGATAGAAAACTTTGTATCAATTTGACTGTATGATCTGGTTGAACTGTAAAGTGCCTTGAGATGACATGTGTTGTGAATTTGGCGCTATATAAATAAACTGAATTGAATTGAATTGAATCTATGTTGACAGAGACTGCTGCAGCCAGACAGGTGGGTGAAAATTGCTCTCTCTCTGTCACACACTTTTAGAACCATTTGTAAAAATGTTGTTTGGGGGAGAAGTGGTAGTGACAATTGGCAGTTTACTTAATCATGGTGTAACCACACACAGGTCTATGTTATTATGAATGGTTGTTTTTCACAGGAGTGTCTTCAGTAGCAAAGCTCTTTCACCCATGGAAGTCTGCGGTGCGCTTGGACAGCTTCCATTTCATGAGACGTTTTAACTGCGGCCTCACTACAGAAAACCACCCTCTCTATGGCACCTTTTGCTCCAAGCTTTCTGCCTGCATTTTCATATGGGACCAGGACGATGTGCAACGCCTGAAGGAGGCCAAGAGAGCAGAGTGGAGGATCAGCCACAGTGGACAAATACCCACTGAAGAGCAGCTCATGGCCACCATCAGCCCGGCGGAACTGAAGAGACACTGCAGGAGGAGGACGCGTGGAGTGGAAGAGATGCGGAGCATGATTTCAGGGCTGCTGGAATCAGTGTGGGAGCTGACAGACACCACAGGCCTGCGTTTGGTAAATCATGACAGCATGCGCCACGTGTGGGAAGTGCAGCAAAAGCATCTGGAGTGTCTACAAGATCCTGTAGGTGTTGCATTGTACACAAAGGTGGGGACACTCCAGAAGGGCGGCAAAGAGCTGGACATCCTTAGGTGTGCTAGGGGATCATCCTCCCTGGAGAGTTTTCACCGACACCAGTGTGCTTTTATTCCAGGTATTCTTGCATTTCTTCTTGCATTTTTGTATGTCTTTTTTAAAAGTTATTCTCTGTTAAGACAGTGTTTGTGTTTTAATTATGAAAAAATAAAACATACAAAATTAAAACTGTCAGGTATTCATAAATGTTCATCTTATAATAACCGTTGACTGATCAGAGTACTTTGTTTCTTAGGCTGGCGGTGCAATGCTTTACATACCCAAATGTACATGCTGGAGGGGATATCAAGATGGAACATGGGCCGGGCCAAGGAGGCAGTAGATGTGGAGGGGGCCTCAACACTAAGAAGCTTTGATGTTCGCTTGATATCCCTCCTTAACAACTTAAGTCAGCGTGTCCATGGTTGTGCTCTGGTGCCAGAGTTCACCCCACCTGGAAAACCCACTGGTAAAAAAGATCTCAGAGCAACACTGCTTAACCTGAGTATTACATCTCCTCCTCCTTTTTTTTATTACCCCTCCCACTCAGAGGACATGCATTTCTTGAATGTAAAGATTGTGCTTTTTATGTATGACATTGATGTGTGTATTTATGTCCTTTCTTCATCTTTGTGTTTATACTGGTTACAGGCGAGCGAATAGCAGTGGAATACTTATTGGCCCAGACCAACAGAGGTGACCTGTTGGCTCCATCACAGGTCTCTGAAATCCCCTCGCAGGTGGTCGAGGATGAGGATGAGCCAGATGACACCATCAGCATGCCTGACATTCTCTGCCAGTCAGCTGAGACAGGGGCGGGTGATCCTCCAAGTGCTGTAGAGGATGACACTGATCCCGACGCCCTCGTTACAGAGGTCAATAACACTTTCTGTAAAACATTATTCAGAAACACAATATTTAGCTGAACTAAATGTTGCCACATTTTAATAAGATAAAATAACGTAAAATCAGCATTGCTTACATATTACAAACAAGATTTGACATTTGCTTGTTTTTTCTTCTCACTTCTCAGACCAGCCAACGTGACTCCAGGGGCGTTGTTGTATGGGATGCAGTTGATGCCCTTGCAGCCTACCTAGTTGACTTGAACCGCACCATCACCGCCTTGTCAGCCAAGGAGGAGACAGACATAGTCCACCTGTACACAGCTCTTAATGCCATGGACAAGGCACCTTCAAGGTACAGAAGAGGTACTTTGTACACCAAGATTCAACCTTGCCTTTAAAAAAAGAGTTCAGCTTTTATATATATATATATATCTATATATATATATATAGATATATATATATATATAGATATATATATTTTTGTATATACATATATGTATATACATATATATGTATATACATATATATGTATATATATATATATATGTATATATATATATATTTATATATATATATATATATACATATATATTTGTATATACATATGTATGTACATATATATATGTATATACATATATATACATGTATATACATGTATATATATATATATATATATATATATATATATATATATATATATATATATATATATATATATATATATATATATATATATATATATATATATATATACACTATATTGCCAAAAGTATTTGCTCACCTGCCTTGACTCACATATGAGCTTAAGTGACATCCCGTTCCTAATCCATAGGGTTCAATATGACGTCGGTCCACCCTTTGCAGCTAGAACAGCTTCAACTCTTCTGGGAAGGCTGTCCACAAGGTTTAGGAGTGTGTTTATGGGAATTTTTGACCATTCTTCCAGAAGCGCATTTGTGAGGTCGCACACTGATGTTGGACGAGAAGGCCTGGCTCTCAGTCTCCGCTCTAATTCATCCCAAAGGTGTTCTATCGGGTTGAGGTCAGGACTCTGTGCAGGCCAGTCAAGTTCATCCACACCAGACTCTGTCATCCATGTCTTTATGGACCTTGCCTTGTGCACTGGTGCACAGTCATGTTGGAAGAGGAAGGGGCCAGCTCCAAACTGTTCCCACAAAGTTGGGAGCATGGAATTGTCCAAAATGTCTTGGTATGCTGAAGCATTCAGAGTTCCTTTCACTGGAACTAAGGGGCCAAGCCCAGCTCCTGAAAAACAACCCCACACCATAATCCCCCCTTCACCAAACTTTACACTTGGCACAATGCAGTCAGACAAGTACCGTTCTCCTGGCAACCGCCAAACCCAGACCCGTCCATCAGATTGCCAGATGGAGAAGCGCGATTCGTCACTCCAGAGAACGCGTCTCCACTGCTCTAGAGTCCAGTGGCGGCGTGCTTTACACCACCGCATCCGACGCTTTGCATTGCACTTGGTGATGTATGGCTTGGATGCAGCAGCTCGACCATGGAAACCCATTCCATGAAGCTCTCTGCGCACTGTTCTTGAGCTAATCTGAAGGCCACATGAAGTTTGGAGGTCTGTAGTGATTGACTCTGCAGAAAGTTGGCGACCTCTTCGCACTATGCGCTTCAGCATCCGCTGACCCCGCTCCGTCAGTTTACGTGGCCTACCACTTCGTGGCTGAGTTGCTGTCGTTCCCAAACACTTCCATTTTCTTATAATACAGCTGACAGTTGACTGTGGAATATTTAGGAGCGAGGAAATTTCACGACTGGATTTGTTGCACAGGTGGCATCCTATCACAGTTCCACGCTGGAATTCACTGAGCTCCTGAGAGCGACCCATTCTTTCACAAATGTTTGTAAAAACAGTCTGCATGCCTAGGTGCTTGAATTTATACACCTGTGGCCATGGAAGTGATTGGAACACCTGATTCCAATAATTTGGATGGGTGAGCAAATACTTTTGGCAATATAGTGTATATATACACTATATTGCCAAAAGTATTTGCTCACCTGCCTTGACTCACATATGAGCTTAAGTGACATCCCGTTCCTAATCCATAGGGTTCAATATGACGTCGGTCCACCCTTTGCAGCTAGAACAGCTTCAACTCTTCTGGGAAGGCTGTCCACAAGGTTTAGGAGTGTGTTTATGGGAATTTTTGACCATTCTTCCAGAAGCGCATTTGTGAGGTCGCACACTGATGTTGGACGAGAAGGCCTGGCTCTCAGTCTCCGCTCTAATTCATCCCAAAGGTGTTCTATCGGGTTGAGGTCAGGACTCTGTGCAGGCCAGTCAAGTTCATCCACACCAGACTCTGTCATCCATGTCTTTATGGACCTTGCTTTGTGCACTGGTGCACAGTCATGTTGGAAGAGGAAGGGGCCAGCTCCAAACTGTTCCCACAAAGTTGGGAGCATGGAATTGTCCAAAATGTCTTGGTATGCTGAAGCATTCAGAGTTCCTTTCACTGGAACTAAGGGGCCAAGCCCAGCTCCTGAAAAACAACCTCACACCATAATCCCCCCTCCACCAAACTTTACACTTGGCACAATGCAGTCAGACAAGTACCGTTCTCCTGGCAACCGCCAAACCCAGACCCGTCCATCAGATTGCCAGATGGAGAAGCGCGATTCGTCACTCCAGAGAACGCGTCTCCACTGCTCTAGAGTCCAGTGGCGGCGTGCTTTACACCACCGCATCCGACGCTTTGCATTGCACTTGGTGATGTATGGCTTGGATGCAGCTGCTCGACCATGGAAACCCATTCCATGAAGCTCTCTGCGCACTGTTCTTGAGCTAATCTGAAGGCCACATGAAGTTTGGAGGTCTGTAGTGATTGACTCTGCAGAAAGTTGGCGACCTCTTCGCACTATGCGCGTCAGCATCCGCTGACCCCGCTCCGTCAGTTTACGTGGCCTACCACTTCGTGGCTGAGTTGCTGTCGTTCCCAAACACTTCCATTTTCTTATAATACAGCTGACAGTTGACTGTGGAATATTTAGGAGCGAGGAAATTTCTCGACTGGATTTGTTGCACAGGTGGCATCCTATCACAGTTCCACGCTGGAATTCACTGAGCTCCTGAGAGCGACCCATTCTTTCACAAATGTTTGTAAAAACAGTCTGCATGCCTAGGTGCTTGAATTTATACACCTGTGGCCATGGAAGTGATTGGAACACCTGATTCCAATAATTTGGATGGGTGAGCAAATACTTTTGGCAATATAGTGTATATATATATATATATATATATATATATATATATATATATATACAAATATATATATATATATATATATATATTTGTTTCTTTTACGGTTTAGGTACACCCAGAAGGCTAAAAAGAAAGCGCATGCTACTTCAGGACCTTGGAGAGCACCCAGGAAGCCGAGTGGTTCTGCTCCTGGACAGCAGGCGGCTGAGAGGTACTTGGCCACAATTTGCCATTAATTTGGTTCAATACAAACCATTGATTAAAAGATGGCATGTGTCACTGTGAAAAGCATTTGTTAATTGTAAAGTATTTCATTACATTTCCTATTGACATTTTAAATTGGTTCTTCATGACTTTGAATCATTGTTCACAGCCCAGATCATGTCATTCTTATCTCCCACAGACTTTACATGACTCATGGCCAAGCAGCCCAGGACCCGGAAGCAAACAGGGTCAGTGAGTGTGTTTGCCTCAGACTCGCCAAAGAGTTTGAGCAGTCACGCAACAGGCCAAAGGACACAAAGGGGAAAACCATGCCCATCCCTCAGTCCATAGTCAAGGTATACGGCCATATAAAGCAGTTGCTGGAGGACAGCAGGGTTGTCCTGGACCAGACAAACCTGGTTCTGGTGCCGGTTAACAACACCACAGTCTCTTCATGGTATGTGTTATTTCAGTTACCTCTCCCACACAGTCAAGATAGTAGATCAAGATTTAACCTAAAAAAAAATATACGTACATGCATGTAATAACCTTAGGAAAGGAGTATATATATAATAGATGTATAAAATAATAAATGTTTGTTTTGTAGGCTGCTTAGGAGGGATAAGAGGAAGGACAGGGACATGCTGCTGCAAGGCACTGTTCTTCCCAAACAGTTGCACCTGGCCAAGGAGCCTCTCCCTGCAACTAAGACACTTCCTGCAGCACCTGTGCAACACGGACATGAAAAAATGGAATTCGAGGAGCCTGAAAACCGCGAGGGGGAAGCTTTTCCCCGTCAGCGCACTCTGGCGGCAAACAAACCAGTGTCCGCTCCACCATTTCCACCTCCCCAGTTCCCTCCTCAGTTTTGGCCAGCTCCTCAATTGCAGCAAGCTCCTCCATTTCCACAGTTTCCATTTCCAAATGCTCCTCCGTTTATATATGGTCCTTCATTCAGCTATGCTCCTCCATTTAACTATCCTCCTCCACCGCAGCAAACTCCTCCTCCTCCACATGCACCTCCATCTCCTGATGCTCCTCCTGTGCAGCATGCTCCTCCAGAGAGCCTTCCATCCCAGCCAAGACAACGTGCCTGGAGGCTAAATAAAGCTGCACAGGAAGATGAGGAGCGTGTATCAAAGGGGGAGCCACCTCGGAAGAGGCTAGCGAAGGAAAAATACCACTACACGTGCAAGGTGTGTGGCCAGGACAAAAGCAAAAAGACTGGACACACCCAGCTGAAGGGGCGGTGGTATTGTCCTGCCTCTGGAGTTACCCAGGAAGACTGGAGGAAGAATTTGTAGTTTTTGTTACCTCTGTTTCTCTGTTTCTCACAATAAAGTTTCATACGTTTTTTGGAGTTAAGAACAACCTTCATGTTTTTATTAACTTTTTTGAATACCAGTGGGGTTACCTATTGAATTGAATTGTTAAAACTAAAGCCCTAATTACTTCTCATTTATAATATTTTTATTTACAAGAAAATTTGCTTTGAATGCATTCGCGTGATTTATCACAGGGTTATTACTAGTGTGATTTATAGGGCAAAACAGTTCCTTTGTTAAAGTTACTACATAAGTTACTACATAACTGCATGTGTACCTCTACTTCTGGAATGCCCTAAGATGCAAGCGGTATTGCCCAAGCACAGGTTCAAATCCCGCAAGAAACATAAAAATTTATGTGATGATAAAGCCTGAAATAAGTGCAGAAATGACAGTAAAAAATGTTGGGAAGGTAAAAAAAGTAGATAGAAATTGATATAGTGCATGTTTTCCTCCTTTTCTTTTCTCTCTTTTCCCCCCTCTTTCCCCTCTTCTTTCCTTCTTTCCCCCGCACGGGCAGTCCCTTTTGCCCCATTTTTGGCGCAATGGATAGCACATTGGACTTCTAGCTAAGCTCTAAGGAAGAGATTCAAAGGTTGTGGGTTCGAGTCCCACCAGAGTCATCTTTTTAAGCTCTAAATCATGTCACAGACTCTGCACTGCAGTGATAAACAAAACCAAAATTAATAAATAAATGCACCATATATATTTAATGCTCTGAAAATCCATATCATATCAACATATCTTTTTTCTCCCACACTGTTTAAATTTGATCACTGCTGCACTTTATGGAATGGAAACGTTTATGTACTGTCTGAAAAGCTGCAGTAAACGAAATTTTGTTTTATATACAAAATGAAAATAAAAGTTGTCTAAGTCTAAACAAAAAAGGACATTGTGCTCTTAAAGATTCTCAGTCATCCAGGTCATACTCATTTCAAAAAAGTAAAAAAAAAAGAAACTTTGTTTCCAAGTTTGAAGATATGTCACTTCCCATCCAGGAAGCTTTTTTAATTAAAAATGTCTGGATAAACGTTTAGTTCCAAGCTTTATATAGAGGTCCAACAAAGCCTTGTTTTAGCTTAGAAAACATGCAACGACTCTACATTACTACATTACTAAGGGGCGGACCTGTTCTTCTGGTTCAATCTGCAGATCAATTTGCATGTTTTCTAAGGCTTTGTTGGGCTTCTCTATAAAGCTTGGAACTCAAAGCTAATCCAGACATTTTCAATGGAAAAAGCTTCCTGGATGAGAAGCAAAAACCTCTTCAAACCTGGAAAACAAGTCCAGTGGGTGGCAGACATTTTTTTGGAACAAAAGGCATTGTATGGAGGGCTTCTCTCCACAAGTAAGACAGGCAAGACAGATGCATTGGGAGGTTGGCTACTGAAGTATGGAGTGTATTTTATTCCATCATTGTTGCAACACATTTCATAAATCCTGAAATGAATGAAGTTAAAGTTTTGTTTTTTTTTTATTTAATTTTATCGAACTGAGTTTTTTAGATAAAGTTTTAAGTGAGAAGGGAAGACGTATTTCTGAAAAAGAGGAATTTAAAGAAATAAAGATTTTAAATATAAAACCTGTCGACATTTTTTTTAATATAAATTTCAAAAAACAAGAAAGAAGAAAAATTGAAAAAATCATTGTTTCAACGTTTTATGATCAACAACGTTTGCGTCAAATCAAGCAATCATATTGAGTTTGAAGTAAATTGAACGTGATTTTTTAAATTCTTAAAACTCAATTTGTAAATAAAGAAAATAAATAAAAACATGAAAAAGAAAATCTGTATTTCTTTTTTTTTTATTTATTTATAACTCACGTGGCTTAATCCTTTCGCTTGGTTAGTCATCAAAGCTCATTTTGATTCACAGCACCCAAGTCTTCTGCCGGGGCCTGAGCGCCAAAGAACTTATTTCACTCATGTCAATGAAACTTCTTTAATCCAAATTAAATACATTTCAGTACAGAATGATTTTTCAGGAGGAAAAAAAATGCATCAACTCCAAATTCAGACAAAAGTTATTTTGTCTAGTGTTTGGCGCTTTTCAATTATTTTCCCCAAATAAGTGGCATATTTTCCACCTTTTTGAGTTTCTCAAATTAAGAAATGTAAAATATTAAAATTTTTCATTTAATATTTTATACTACTAAATAAATACAATAAGCCTTAATTGCAATGTCAGACAGAAATTGTCTTTTTTTTGTTGGTTTGGTATCATGACATTCATAATAACAGAAAAGATAACTTAACAATTGAAGTAATCCGTTGGCATAAGCTCAATTAAAACTGATCCATAAATCATAAAATTGTAGGACACCTGATATAACCTCTATGCGTGCCTTTAAATGACAGTAAGGCTGAAATATTGCAATCTAGAACCAAGACTAATTCATGTATGTTTCTATCTCATCTGCCCATATTATTGCTGAATTGCCCTGTCCATCTTAATCACTGCTACCTAAGTGCTGTTCATTCTGCACAATGAAGCTGTCAGCTGAACAAATGGCAGCTTGATTTATTGTCACTTAAAAAAAACAGAAAATCCGATCTAGTGAACCTTCCCCCACCACCGGATTTACTGAAGATGTTCTAATAATAATAAGAAACATTCCTATTCTGTTGACACAGTGAACACAGATCAAGTCTTCAACTCAATTCAGTTTATTTCTATAGCACCAATTCATAACACATGTCATTTCAAGGCACTTTACAATTCAACCAGATCATACAGTCAGATTGATTCAAAGTTTTTTATCTAATGAGAACCAGTTGATTGCATCGACTCATTGACTTGGATGCAATGCTTTACACTAAGCATGCTTGTATTGACAGTGGAGAGGAAAAACTCCTTTTAACAGGAAGAAACCTCGAGCAGAACCAGGCTCAGTGTGAGCGGCCATCTGCTGAGGCCGACCAAGCCTCAAGGAGAACTTCCATATGAAGTCTTAACAGCTTAGTTGGGATAAAGGAACATTCCACTTCCCCAACAGGGTTTCCACTACTGATAATTGATGGTACCCTACCGCCACAACAAAATAAAAGCCACCGTACTTTTAAACCGATTTTGAAGAAATGCTTAAACATTCTAAATCATATATAGCAGACTGTACATTTGCAAAATTATCATAATTCTAATCAGTTTAAAATGAAATGTTAAGATTTACTTTATTTTGAAAAAACCGACACCACCAGTTCCTATCAGTTTTTCTTTGAAGCACGCTAGAATATGAAGCTAACTACTAGCTTCTGCGCTGGGCTGCTGTCAGTAGTGAAGGAAAGTTTGCCAACTCATTAAAAAGGCAATTAGAGACAAATCTAGTGACTGTCTTTATGTTTTTAAAGAATTGAAACGTGAAAATGAAGCCTAGGCGGTAGTTCAACTGAATAAACTGATTACTTGCCTACATCCACCTACGACACAGCCAATCAGCTTTGAACCACGCCTCCATAAAAGCCAATCAGCATCCAAAGTTTAGCTTAAAAGCCGTCCAATCCTGTCTGCTACCTAGTGCCCAGGTGGTCGTCGCGCTGTCTGACTTCATTCAGATGACCCCGTTTCTACCCACCTCCAGCCCCTCCTCCACCATCGTAGCTAAAACTTCATCAGAGTTTCATTCCATCTGGACTCTTACCGCATTCTGCAACTCATTTCAACCGGTAAGGCAGAAGACCGCCATGTTGAGCCTGGTTCTGCCAGAGTTTTTCCTCTCCACTCTCGCTCCATGCTTGCTCATCATGGACAGGTTCTCTCAACCTGTGTTATCCAACTGGACTTCCATCTTCCAGGTCCCTGAGTGAAGCTCTAGTATCAGCTCATGCAGTCCACTGGATCTCCCCATAAAGCTCAGCAGACCGTCTCTCTAACCAGCAGTCTACAGACTGACCATCTTCATCTATCTCCACTCCACCACCAGTTTCAGGCCTGGGGGGGAAACAGCCCCGTTCTTTACTCCTGTTCACGCATATCAATCAAAATTTAGCGCTAATTTGTCAAGATCTGAGTGCCAAAGACTAAGTAATTGTATCAATAAATTTCTTCTAATTGTCGTTTCTCTCCTTGTGAGTTTTTCCGATTGAACTGGTTACTGTTCTACAGCTACTGTCTCTCCCAGCTTCCCTAAGCACTGTCTCACAGGCACAGGCGGCTGCCTCATCCTGAAAGAGCAGAGAGGACACCAGCTCTGTTTTCCCATGGCTAATGGGACCTGCTGATGTTTCCGTCCTGGATTGCAAAGCAGGATTAGATATCATGTCAATACATTTTTAAATGACGACTTTAAAAAGAAAAACAAAAGAAAGAAAACAGTTTCAATGAAGTAATTACCTGGTTACCAGACCGCTTTAATCACTTCCTAACTTTGTGTGCATCTGATTTCTATTTTTTGGGTAAAATCACATCAATTCAGAAAACAAATACAAATTCAAACACGGTTTTTATATATAAAATAAGATTAACATATGTTGAATTTCCATATTTCATTTAATAAATGAAAATATTTTTAGATTATGCATGGTTCCGCCCCCTCACCCCTAGCTGATGTGTTTTGTTGGAGCATGTAGGTCGTCAGAGGCACAAAGTGCATTATAAATCCTACTCTCTTCTTTGCTGCTACATGTGTCTAAGATAATTTAATGTAAGATAAGACTCTGTTGTGACAGTCAAGGGTGAAGGGCTCAGAAATGAAAAACCTGCCCCGGCTGCCCGTTTCCTCACACACTCACTAAAAGCAGGCAGCCACACTAACACCCCAACCCCCCCGCCATCTCCAAACCCATCTGAAGGTGACATGTGGGATGGGACGGATTTGTGCTTTGCAGCCATTAAAATTGTTTGTGTCTTTGGGGGGCTGACAGAGCCCAGAGTGAGATGGGAACAGGTGACGTATCCCATCGAGCTGTTTTCAGCATAACATGACGACTCTTTGTCTCTGTTGAGTTTGTGAAAAAAAGACAGTCAGTAAAGGTGGTGTCAGCCATGAGTATGAAATTATAAAACAGTGTTAAATATGTATTAAGATATTATGCTCCTGC